CAAGGGGAATCTTATATTACACATTTTCTCTATCCTCGCGGAATTTAATTATATGAATTTCTGATAATGAAAAGGCAAAGAATAAAAACAAAATAGGTGGATTGTTTTACGGAACTGGAGGCTTACAAAAATAGACAAAAAATAGACAAAAAATTGACAAAAAATAGACTCTGTGTACAACAGACATTTTTATTTCGTTTTTATTACTGCTGAAGCTTCCTCTCTCGTTAAAAATGGCCACCGATTCGCACGATAGAGCTCCCAAATGGCATATAGACTGAAATCCCTGAAAAAATAGCCAGGTAAATTTAATTGGACTACGGTTGCAGTCTTTGTGATATTAAAACCTGAATGTGACTTTTATATGTTCTTACTCTTTGTCGGACGTCAGTGCAAGAATTGTATGGCGTTCGAAAACAGACACTATAAATGTCAAGTGACGCAACTATTGACAGAGATTTATAGAGGAACCTACGTTGTTCACACTTTCGAGTGAATATCATAAATCAAGTGTCGCTGATTGGAGTTGCTTTATATCGTCATGTTAGTGTAGTGGTAAGTAATCCCACTTGTTACATAGTGAAAGGGGCTAAGATTACGCCCGGCGTGGCAGAATATAAATATAGACCTATCCTTTTCTTTTTTGGTATGTCAACGATAATTTGTGGCTATAAACAAAATTCATTGATAAAAATAATTTCGATAATACAACGAAAGAGAATATTTATTAAAATAATGAAACGGCAAATCACTAAGTATTAAACTTTTTTGGTAAGAAATAACGTATGTCACTGCTATCAACGAATCAGGAGCAGAACTATGGTTGAATTCTTCGAAATTGTGTCTAGAATTAGTTCATCATGTCTTCTATTAGGGAATTCGGAAAGTAAATATGTATATCACCGCTATGATTTAGGATTCAACCAATCAAGGTAGAACCAAAGTTGAATGTTACGAAACTGTGTCTAGAATTAGTTTATTGTCTCTTCTTTTAGGCTGTTCGGAAAGTAATTACGTATTTCACCGCTATGAATTATGATGAATGCATAAACAATGTTGAATGTTACGAAACTGTGTCTTGAATTATTTTATCATCTTTTTTTTTAGGCTGTTCGCAAAGTAATTAGGTATTTCGTCGCTATGAATTGTAGGAAACTGCATTAAGAATTAATTTACTAACTGGGCTTACTGATTACCAGGGTGCAAATTTACTGTGGATGACCTTGATCGCAAGGTCATCCACCGTAAAATTGGGGCCTGGCTCTTTCTGGCAGATCTTCTCTTATCACAATGTCGGATATCTAATAACAAAAGTGACGAAAATAAAAACAACCTAAATGAAATCGACTAGATTATATTAAAAAAAAAAAAGAAAAATTAAAATTTTAAAATTCCCAGCATCCCTCGTGCGCATGTGTCGTCGCACAAACATAAAAATATTTGTTCGCGAAACCCTAAAGGACGAAATGCGTCATATGAAAAAAAAATTTCCACTTTGTCAAACATTTTTCCCCCCAATATTTTTTCTGATATTAAACATATGTATATCGTTATTTTATATACTATTTCATAATGGCTGTCTGTGGACCAAAAGAAGTAACCCAGAATTTAATATTGCTATGGGAGTGTTTGACTCAGAAGATGCATGCGAATTATTTGGAATATTATTATTATTATTGTGGACACTTAAATTTACTTTCGACATTAAGGACACCATCATCCCTATAGAGATGATGGTGTAATTCTTCTCCGTAAAACAAAGCCATGAAATAGAGATCGATTGAGAAAAGAAGTGAAAAATATCTTTTCGTTCCTCATTATATGCTCTAGAAACTACAATTATATCTTCCTGATTTTAAGAATTAGTTTCGTTTTTGTTCCATTTTCTCTAAAACTTCGTCTTAGCTCACATGTTCGCTCCATTTTATTCTCAGCATCTTTCTGTAGATCCACATTTCTGTGGTTTCAAGTTTATTCTTCATCTTTGAGGCGATCATTCAGCACTCACTTCCATACAAGAGGAGAAATATCACATAGCAGCTTAGTACTCTTTTCTTTGTGTCTAGAGAAGTTTTTTTTTTTCCATTTCTTATAACTCTGC